CACAATTACACCTTACAAACTTAATTTCATATTGCGTTTTCTTGGACTTTGACACACGTCTCTGTGATATGTTGATCTTTCTCAATGTGATCTTTATGGCTGGACGCAATAGAATAATTTTCTATCCTGGATGTGTCTTCTTTTTTTTATTATTAAGCGCATCTATCTTCTCTTTTTTCGTATTTATTTTTATCTCCCTTTTCAGTTCTTCTTGATTTTCCACTTTTACAGATAAACTTCTCGCTGATGTATCAACATCATCTATTGTCTTGCTACAATGTGGTACAGATGATGGCACTCTATGATAATCTTTTGTGCTCAGTGAATCATTTGTTGTCATGGCTGACTTTGGAAGCAAAAGAGTAGATACATGTGCTTGAGTTTGCAATTGTTCGGGATCACGATATATTAATCTTAATATTGCCTTTCCACTGTTGAGTCCCAATGATTTTAAGGTTGTATTTTCTAATGCTTCTTTTCCATATACCTATATAAAAAGATATGAAGCATAATTCTCATTCATATGCTTGCATTACATATCTAATTATATATCATTGTGAAACATCTAAATTTCTATGTTAAGCAGATATTCTGTATATAATATATACATACTTCACGATGCATGTAAATCAGCACAGCCCTCTTAAGATCAGAGTCGGGATATATTTTTGTCAATGCTTGAGCTAACGTTGTACTGGGTGAAAACTCGCATGTTACCCTATCTCCATCCTCCGGCTGAAGACAGATTGTAACATTCGACACTGCACGCGCCTTTGTACAAGCTACCATCTCCAATTGTGCATTATTCGGCAAACCGGCAAAGCGGAATATCATGTTGGGATCTAATATCTGTCGACTATGTCTGTAACAAACAGCAAAGGTATAACATGAAGCTGTAGAAAAATCAGAATCTAAAATGTCATACGTTTAACGACTCACTTGATGTCATAGTCGTCGACCTTGTAGCCTTGCTTCTGGCATACCTCTTCTAGAATCTGGAACGAACCTTCGTTTGAAGTCGTATCAGGGATCTCTTTTTTTCCCCTCTCGATCGAACGTATGATTATTCTCGCAAGTCGCGCGTAAAATCATCGAACTCACCTGTAAAATCGTCGTGTTAATCGTAACCTTCACGTTTTGCCGGCGACCGTTCGGCGCGAGAACGACAACGGTCTTGTTTGCCGCCATGGTGATCAGCAGAACTTCAAAAGGAACACTGATGGTCCAATTGTCGCGAGGTGAACAGCTGATTCGAGGCAACTTGCTCGCGCAGATATTTCACCTGTCCCCTTCTCCTCTTCCCACGAAGTTGTGTCAAGTCCCGTCTTCATGTATTCATCAATCAATCTGACAAAAAAAAAAAAGATAAAAGATACTTGATCGTACTTTGGTTACGAAAATCGCGCTTTCTTTTATTGTGGAGACAAGCTGTGTTTACACACGTTTTCATTTTTCTAGATCGCCTCTCCCAATTGAAGACTTATTTATCTAACAGATACCTGCATGTCATCAGATTAATCAAATACTCAACGCTTTATTAACAGCCGCGCGTGTGACTCAGATCGCAATCGCTCTTGTTCATACTAGAAATATTGGCAAGAAGCCGTCGAGGCTGTCGTGTGGCCACCTGCAGGATCGTTTACATCAAGCTCAGGATATCTAAAAACAATATAACGCGCCGCAAGCCACATCTGACCCATCTGTCGCGCTCGCAACGGAGTTGACTAAACAGACAATAGCGTGACACAGTCAGGGGATGGGAGGGAGTAGGTGAGAAAAGCGGGGAGACGACGAAATATCATATCACTCACACCAGCATCAGGCATTCATCGCGCACCGCCGTGTGTTTACGAGCGACGACCAGCAACGACCGCCGCCTTGACGTCTCCACACCGTTCGTCAACGCAACGACGCACAAATGACGACTCGTGAGATGAAACCAGGCAAGTCGCGGCGTGATGGTGGTGTCCTTTAACCGATACCTACCGGTGATCCTGCCGGAGATCAACGACAGCGAGCTCGGCGGGCGAGCCGTCGACGTCGGGTCGCCCGAGATCGGCAAGCAGCGTGCCTCATACACCGCGAATGAGACCGTTGCGAGAAGCTGCTCAATCAACACCACTAGCACCACCACCACCACCACTATCACCGGCGGTGGTAGCCCGACGACAACCCCCGTGACGACGCCGGCGGTCACGGTCACGACGTCGGCGGTCACGGTGCCGCTATGTGTCCTGGGTGAGGTACAGCTACGCTTCCTTTGTCCCGACGATTTGGAGGAGGTTCGCTCGCTCTGTCAAGATTGGTTTCCGATAGGTAAGCGTCTAATCCTGAAGACAAACACGATTTTCATCTGCTTGAAAAGAGTGAAAGAAACATAGGATTAAGAAATGTCTTTTGTAATACAATTGTAATACAGATCCTTTAATGTTTTCTTTTTCTCTAGTATTCTGGAAGCATGTTTTGAATGATGCCAAAAAAAATATAAACAATTTGGGAAAGAATGGGAAAGAGATATATGTTTGAAAAAAATGACTTAGATGTGATGAAAGGAATAAGAAAAAAGAAACAAGAAATTAAACATAGGAAATTAGAAAAAGATAAACTTTGACACATGGGAAATTATTAAATTGATTCAATATGTGATCAAGGAATATTAAGATGTTCTTTTACTTCAAAATGATTTTTTGTTCTTAATTCTTTCTATTTATTCCTTATTCCTATTATGTATACTGAATCCAAACAGTTTGACTTACAATAACATAATGACTATTGTATGCATATACATATTTCAAGCTTCAAAACAAATACTTGTGAGGTAGATTTTCAGTCTTTGAAATCTATATCAATAGTTTAACTTTTTATTTTTTTTAGTTCTAAGAATTAGAAAAAGATAAAGATCAAATTAAATTGAGATTAAAATTACTCTATATTAGTAGAAATGGACAATAATAGAAATTATATCTGTTGACATATTGATTAAATCTCACCATTGTTGGAATATAATTTTATTAAGTTCCATAATTGAATTATTTATAATATTTAATGGAGACCTATCTAAAACTTTTTCTTAGAAATATATATCAATATCTTTTCAATCTGTATATATCAACAATTTCAATCTTTTCAATCTGTATATTACAAGATATTTGTTGTAAAAGTATAACATGTACAAAAATGTTGAACTACTACATAAAATTAATGTTTAATTTTTATCTACACAGATTATCCATATTCATGGTATGAAGACATCACGAGTTCATCAAGGTTTTATGCGCTCGCAGCAGTATACGGTGGAGTAATAATAGGGCTGATAGTCGCGGAAATAAAGCCATACGCCAGATTGAATAAGGAGGATCGCGGCATCTTGTGTTCCAGCCTTGGGAAAAATTGCCTAGTGGGCTATATACTTAGTTTAGGCGTACGCCGCGCATACAGAAGAAACGGGATAGCCTCGTTGCTGCTAGAACAACTACTGGCTCACGTCACTGCTCCCGAACGTTTCTCTGTAAAGGCAGTCTTCCTACATGTACTTTCCAGCAACGCTCCAGCTATATTGTTTTATCAAAGGTGTCACTTTCGATTGCATAGTTTTCTTCCGTATTATTACTCGATCCGGGGAAAGTGTAAAGACGGTTTCACATATGTTCTTTATGTTAATGGCGGACATGCACCGTGGGGTATTTGGGATTGGGTGCGTCATTTAGCTGGCGCGATGACCAATCTTGTACCATGTAGAATACCGCGATGGATTTGGCAACGTCTTCTGTGGGCAACCACCGTTCTCTCTTACCACAGATGATACATTTTGTGATTTATTATGTTTAATCATATATTTATTTTTTTTTAATTTTAGAGATGTTATATGTAAAGTGCCATAAATCAGTTGATGTTATGACAGGTTCAAGTAGATAGTCGCAGGATGGTCATATGATTTTATTATGTAGACATGTACTAAATATAATGCGAAGTCAAAAACAAATATTGATTTAATCATATTTGCATGTACGTAATGCAAACAGATATATAAATTTGTCTAAAGTTTGGACAGTAAAGCTTCAGAGTATCTTAGCATGCTTTTTGTTACTAAGAGTTACTAGTTGTTGCGAAAAGATACATAATTATTACAATACCGCTGTAATAGTTTCAGATGTGTAACTGCCAAAAATAATTAAGTTGAAATAATTTGCACATTAATTAATATCTTCCATCATTTTTAAAGGTAAAAAATGATATTAAATCATTGTTAATTTTAACAAATAAACTCGTGTGCGTGAATTTCGAGATAATTATATTTAACGCAACAGGAGATTAAAAGGCTTATTATTGATATTTATAGAGATTTATACATAACAAATGCATTGAAATATATATATGTATGTATGTATATACATATTACATACACATCATACATACATACATACATACATACATGTTTACATAGAATGAACATGCAATGTCTTCAAATCATAAATAATTAATGTTAATGAATATATCTCTTGAAACGCTTCTTCAGAAATAAAAATTTTTATTAATTTTCTCTTGAATAAAATTTATATAAATAACTTAAAATATATTACATATGAAATATTACACACAATTTTGTTACATACAATATTGTTTATTCAAACAAAAAAAGCTTACCTTAAAGACAAATAATATTTGTTTATATTTCCTCCATCGAGTATATAAGTCTCCAAGATATATAATGTTCAAGTTTTCGAAAAAAATTTCTTCATCTCTTGGAATTCATTAGATAAGGAAAATAAGATACATAAAACTAATATTCATGGACTTCAGATAAGCAATCATGTGAAAGTCTGAGATATTGGAATTCACCAGATAAAAGCAAAACAAGACTGTAAGTTTCAAAAACCGCAAGAAAAAGTGTGAAATATTAAATTCTGTATTAATATTAAAAAATAAATCGATAAAGAATGATAACATCCGAAGTAAGATGGAATCAGTCATATATTTGATACTATGCCATAGTTCAGGGACATGCACAGAAAAGAAAGAATATTTTAAGGCAATATTTTATGATGTTAGATGGAGGATGGAGGCTTTTCTGTAGAAGATTAAGAAAACATCCAAGAAAGTTTATCCAAACAATTAAATTTATCAATGCTTAATAGCTTTGATGATGGTAAGACCGGAAGAACATTTTGTTACAAAATTATTTGATTTATTTACGTCGTTTAGTGCTGGTCTTATTTACTTGACAAATGTTTTAATAATATTTCTATTTTCAACTCCAAAACGACTCAACTTCGAAACTAATTCAGGACGTTATTTAATATGCAAAAAAAAGTCTGATACTCAAAGTTCATTATCTTTTTTACATTAATCAATTATTAATTCATAATCAATTATTTGCTTTCATGGAAAATTAATAAAAAGAACGATCGAATTGGTATCACTTGACATATTACAAGGCGACACAAAATTCATAAAGTACTTGAGAAATTCCAATGACAATTTTAGGAAGTAACGAATAATGAAACTCTTAAAGATTGTTGGAATTGTGAGGGTCCTACATTAACAGAACCAAAGCAAGAAGACATGCGAAAAGAATGTCTAAAATATTGGAATAATAATAATCTGAAATATAATATTAAATCAGCTATATGATTGATATTGCACGCCTTATGATTCAAAACATGCATAGAAAAAGAAAGAATGGTAACATTTTATTTAT